CTGTTGTTGCTTCTGGTGCTGTTGCTGCTGCTATTGCTGCTGTTGAGCTGTTGCTACTGTGTTGTTTGCCTAGGAGCACCGATGAACATATTTTGCCTTTGTGTTTTTCTTTTGCAGCCTGGCGGCTGTCCATTTGGTGTACTACGAGCTGCAGGGAGATATCTTCGGGTGTATGTACAGTGGAGAGGAAGCATTCGCGGGGATGACTTTGTCGCGGCTGCTGCAGGCATTTCCAAACGTGCGGCTGCGGGGTGTCTGGGGAGGGTTAAGCGTTTGCAGCAGAGAGACAGAGGGGAGGCAGCTGGTCCTTTTATCTTATAGTCTCCGTGATGCAGACAGCACAACAGCAACAACAACAGCAACTGCAGCAGCAACAGCAACTGCGAAAGTAGCTGGAACAGCAATTGCAGCTGCAGGAGCAACAGCAAGTGAAGGTCTTTGTTTGTTTGTGTGTTCAGACAGTGGAGGCGTTCTTTTGTGCAGCTCCTTTAGAGTGGCAAGACGAACTCGCCTCTGCTGTTCTGCGCTGTCTCGTGGAGGTTTGTCCCTTTCAGTTCTTCCTGCTAATTGTGGCTGTCTGTTTCAGTTTTGGTTGCTAGTCAAGGTCGCCCGTTTCAGGTGTTGTTCGCTGGGGTTCTTTGCATATTGTTGTTGCTGTTCATTGGGGCCTTCTGCGTCAGGTGTTGTTGTCAGTTAGATATCTCTGATTCAGTTTTTGTTGTTAGTTCCATCTACCTGCTTCTGCTTTAGTTGCTGTTCTTAGTCGGGATCATCTGCTCCACTTGTACGGGATCTTCTGCTTCACTTATACAAACTCGCGCCTGTTGCGATTCTGTCCGTTGCCCTCGTGCATGCTCCCGGATGGAGTTGCATGCGCCTGCATCTATATACAGTGGAGTGTTTAGTGTTTTTCTGTGGTCTTCAGGCGTGGTGCTTGCTGGTGGTTGATTGGGGTTATGGGGGCCACGTCTTCGAGAGCGATGAAGTCGAGGTGTTGGAGGCGGACCTCCACACGCTCCGGCAGTATGCAACAGACAACGAGATCGCCCTCGAGGTACACCTCAACTTTGATTTTCTCTCTTCCTCTCCTCAACGCAACTAAGTATATAGACTCCATCTATATGCCTATATGTATAGTAAATATATATGCATGCACTTATGTAGACGAGGGAGCGGGTGCTTTGTGCGTGTTGGGGATGCAGGACGAAGGGGAGGCGTTCGACCGCGTGAATGACTTCTTGGTGATGCTCGACGCCGACGGCGGCTGTCTTGCTGCTGCGGAGCAGCTGGCGCGGCAGCAGCAGCAGCAGGAGCTGCAGCAGCTGGAAATGGGTGGAGACTCTTCTGATAGAAACAGAAGAAGGTATTAAGGCGATCACAAAAACCTGAATGGGGCTCAGGCCCGCAGCAGCATTAACTGCAAGCGAATCTGCTGGTGGAAGTAGACAAAAAGAAATACATCAAATGAATACCTCCGTTTTTGATGCATCTAGATAAAGAATAATACATGTACAGCTGGCATCGGGTTTGTTAGGGGTGGCTGTGCTGTGTGTGTGTACAGCGCTGGAGGCCATCCTGTCCGCCCGTTGCCTGCAGCAGGTGTCGGTGTATTTACTGAAGCGGCAGCAGACAGCAGAAACAGCACTCCTAGACGCGGGCGGCTGGGTGGGGCCGACGTCCCCGTCTCCGCTGCTGAGCAGAAGACGCGAAGAAGCCGCAGCAAATCCAAGGGATGGGGGGGAGTAGGTAGGTGGGTGCGCGGGGTCTACAGCTCCTCCGCGCACCGCAACAATCAAAGCCAAAGTCACACAGAAGCCCCAAGCACAAACACAACAAACAGACAAACTCTACACTATAAAGAGGAACCAATGTATTACAAAGAAGAACAGAGGCAATACAAGGAAGAACAACGGCCGGCTGAAGAACAACGAGAAACACCCCGAAGGTCTCTACGGTTCGCTCTTTAAAGGCTGCTGCTGCAAGCAGAAAAAGCTTTGGCATTATGGTTTAGGGTTTAGGATTCAGGGTCTGGTGGCGGACCCGGCGCACCGTGCACCCCAAAGAAGAACGGAGAAAAGCTCTTTCCCCTTCGCATTCGTCAGAGAGCATATGTGCCGGTGCTTGAGTGTTGTATTGTTTCGATCGGTTTCTCATTAATTCATGAAATGCCTTTGTTAGCGATTCGCTAGCCAAAGCCTCGGCACACACGTTTTTGCAGCGACATTTCATTGTTTCGGTGTATTGATGCTATTGAACAGTCTCTTGAACGGCTTTGGTTTTTTGTAGAAATACCCAAGTCGATACATCTACTGTGCAAAGGCGCACAGCCTACGTGGGCCCCTTCAAGTGCGGAGCAGCCGTAAGCGTTGCATCTCCGCAAATGTTCCGTTTCTTTTTCGAGGCCATTTCAGTAGTATGCATTTAGTAGACCCGCATGAAGGGCAATAAAGCGGAAGATGACAGACTTTTCCACGAGAAAACAAACATTTCTCCTTTTGAATGCATATTCTTGTTTTAGTACAGACCGCCAACAGGTTCCCTGAGGCCTGCTTGACTGCCAACACAAAAAGTTCGCAATTACAAGCTCCTCTCTAAATGCCGTGAAACTCAAAGCCCCAGGCTTCATATCCAGATAAGAAACTATCTTAGAATAATTGCAGCTCGTAGTAAAAGGGAACAGCGCTTTGCACAAGTTGCTGCACTGCGTTCCCCCTCCTTGGACTTCACTGAAGCGCGTAGAGCATTTCATTGAGTTGTGCACAACACTTCTTCCATTTGCTGATCCTTCTGGATTCAAACAAGGGAGTTTAAGTATATGTAACCGCTCTCCACTAATAACAACTATCGTAAGCACAGATATAATCATAACAGAAATATTGAACAAGATAAATATTGGACAGGAGAAATACTGATATAGATGAATAACAATTGGCAAGAATACTAAAACGGAGTAAAACTAGGAAAGAACAGGATTCATCCAGAAAAAATGAAGATATACGAACAACTCGCTGCAACTCCTACTCGGCTCCACTCGCCAACAAATCTGTATAGAGCGTTGGGAGGTGCGCCAGCACGCTTAGCGTATCGAATAGCGCAGCCCGATGGGTCTGTTCACAGCAGCGTCTGCAGACTCAAAGCAGCTTCCTATTTGAGGCAAAGCTGCTGATTTCTCGCTGCTTATTCATTCATTTCTTCCACTACAGGAAGTGGCATTGATCAGCCCAAAGATAGCCGACAAACGACCCGCACTGAAATGCAGGTTTCGCGGAGCTGTACAAAACTGTGTCCTTCTAAAGGACTTGAAGAAAAAGCAGAAAACACTACACGAGGCACCACACGGCGTCGGCAGCAATACCTTCACGATGTAAAACTAGAAGTATATCATTGATAATAAGAGCCTCAACATAAACCTTTTCATTGAGTCCTGCTTCTTGAGAACAGTCTCCCGCAGGCCCAGCTGCGCAGGTCTTGTAGCTGATGCTGCAGTTCACTTGTTTAGGCGAATTCGCAAACACCACTGAGATAAAACAGAGCCGGAAGGGGCTGAAGAACTGATAGCAAACAACGAAACATTCAGTTTTCGTGAGCCAACTGTTACCGTCGAAGCTCCCTGGATACTTTCTTGGCGTGAACCGTTCAAAAGAACTTGAACATATTCATGAATATGTTCGCAAACCTGAACATGAATATATAGACATGAACTTATGTACGTGACCATGAACATCAATATATGAACATGAACGATAGCATATGAACACAAACATATTATCATGGACAAGAAAATATATACATAAGCGCGAAAGTGAATATGTGAACACTGACTGACGACCATGAAGATCAGAACAACGTGAACATACATTCATGAGCAAGCACACGAACGTGAGTTCATGTTCCTATCCATGATTATTTGTTCATACGTCCATTAACAAAGACATGAACATGAACACTGCTTCATAAACACCGTTAACATGAAGAGCGCTTTCTCTTCGTGTACTGTGGACGCCAGCTTCGCGTCGCTCTATGTCGTCAATCCACAGAATCATGGTCGTTGCTACAACAGCATTTCTCATTTTCACGTTGGACACAAGGCAAAGAATTCCTCCACTTTCATGAAAAGTGATGGCGGGAGACCCCCCCTGGCGGTCAGGCGCCGGCGATGACGCCAAGGAGCTCTACAAACCATGAAAGGACATGAGAAAGAGTTATAAGCAAGACAAAACATGCCTTGCAACTGATGATTTGCCACATACGAGAAGCGGGCAAAACCCTCGTGCTTCAGGTGTCTGTGGACCCCGAAGTCCGCAGCTGTTTGTGGTTGTTGGTTACCGCGCGGCCTTTCTGGATGACGGTGCGCAGGTGTAGTCTTTGTTATTGCCTTAGTTATCTTTGACAAGCCGCTTAGCAATGTATTTTCACTTGTCATTTACCGTCTGAAGAGAAGCGATTTGCAACACAGACGCCACAAGTCCCACGCCTAGCGGCG